TCAGAAACCAAAACGAGCTCTACACGTGCTGAAATCGCCAGGAATCAAACCGCCAAAGACGAATCATTATTCGACCAGCCATCACCATGCTGCCACTAGCTACAGCACTCAATCGTCAACAGCACCGAGTACGCCAAAAGCTGATGGAGAGGGGTGAGTGACAGTTTGAATTTTCATGTTGGCCTGTTGAAAATCAAAGAGATGGAGGTATTCACGGTGTTGATGATGAGGCTTCGTCAAGCCTACGGGCTTGGAGGGGTTTTATTTTGACCCTTTCGGACCTTGCGGTGGCCATCACCAAATTTAGAGGTCTGCATTACCGACAATCAACTTCTTTCTAACGTCCTTTGATTTAGGTTGCTTAAGACCTCTTTTTCCTCAAAACTTAGCTCTGCACCCGCCGTTTTATTTTTGTAGGAAAAAGTAAGCGCAATAGGAGGAAGTTCATTTTATTAAAAATAACTCGTGGCTAGAAGGGTCGTTGGGCCATTATTTCTTAGCCATTTTTTGAGGCTCTTTGAGCGCTGCTTGATTGACTCACTTATCGTTTACTTTTCATAATATTTGATATTTCCACCTAAGATTGATTCAGTCTGAGAGAAGCATGTTTTCGTGCAGATGACTGCCAAGAAACCTCATCCTTGTGGTGAAGTTTGAGTAATTATGACGGATGTAGCGCTCGTCTATTTCCCGTCGCGCGTTTGTCCGTACACTGCGTGGGCTCGTTCAGCGTTCGGTTGTCGGCTTCCGGTGCGTCGTTGTTGGGGTGATAGTGAAGTTACTCGTTCTCAATAACCAGTTCCTCCAAAGACGCATATTCATTATCATGCACGACGACGGCAACGACGAACGACCGGCCGGCCGTCGCCGCCGCCGCCGTCATCGTCGTCGTCGTCGTTCGTCTCCGCCATGCACTCTGTCATGGCGTATCCTTTCGTTGGTTTTTCTCTCTTTACACATACACCACACAAACACACACGGCAGGGACATACATGTGAACGATTTCCACCGGCTTTATTCATACCTTTGGTCCTTCGATGAAATGCCATGCCATCATGACCAGTTGTGATGTCCGTGATCGTGGACATTAGTGTTTTGAGGGCGGCTCGAGAGGAGCATGATCAGCTGAGCAAGTGATCGCGGAAGGAGACGGAAGTAAAGCAGCTCTGTCAGGTGTCTGTTACATTGTGCAGTCGAAGGGAGATTGAGGCATGCAAAAGAGGAAAGCTCAAGATCTTCCAGATTCATGGTCAAAGGCACTAGCTTGAAAAGAAGGGTTGAGATCGAGAGTTTGAAATCGAGCTCGGATGTGCCAGTCGGAGAACTACTATTTTTGCATAAAGCGCCCATTTTTGAACTTCAGAAAGCTTTGGTCCGAATGTTAGGCTAAATTACGGCATTATCTCTATGGATTTTTGGTCCTTGATCGCTAAAAACACCTTGATGTTTATCTAACCTGCTTTTCATTAGCACTAGATAATCCTCATGTAGTGTTATGCAGATGCGTCACAACGTCTGGCCGTAGCGCCGTATGTACTGCTTAGGCTGATGGCGTGCTTTAAAGAATAGGGCGCTACGAAATTGGAGGATCAATCCTATGGACTAAACCAGTAGTTTGACCTCCGCTCAAAACCGTTGAGGCGTCTGAGGGCTATTTTGCTGGTTTCTAGAAGTAAGGAGGGTGAAAATCGGTCCGCAGAATCCTTGCTGTTTTGAGCAAGTGCATATCGCGCCTCGCGCCTCACCCATGTAGAGTTACTAAGGGTAAGAGATTCATTTGGCGCAACTCTCAGCATAAATGCAGCTTAACACCTCAACAAAATGTGTTATCCCGGTCTGCTTGAAGGGCCCAGATTTTCTAGCACGCTGGCAAGTTATGAGAAATGTTAAGGCCGTAGTGACTAAAAGTAAGTAACTAAAGGTTGAACTGTACCGTAGACGCCGTAGGAAGGCTTTTTTAGGATGCATTCTGAATTAGGCGCTATCACAATATACGGGGGCGTCTTTCATAATTAAGCCAAGGAAGGGGCAGGAGATCCGGGGAAATGCAAATGGCTCATGCACCTTGGAATCCTCCTCCTCCGCCGAAGGCTAGTCCCGTTTTTACCGAAAAAGACAAGTGTTCGCGCTTTTGAATGCATCGCCATCGCAATGCCCCGCATATTGCGATAGCGCCCTGAATTATATGAAATACTTTGATGCTACTTACAGTCACTAATATCCATCATCTAAAGAAGGTTTGGATTGACTGGAATCAGGAATGGACACGCTACTTATTTCATATGACGGGAAAAAGCATCACCCAATTAATCTTCGTTGGTTCACTCAACGAACGACTTCTTAGAACTTTGTCGACAAACCGCATAACTATTGTAATGTTTACTTAGAAAACTGAACCAGTGTAATAGTGGTGTCATGTCGTAGGCGAATTTTCCGGCTGTTGACTTCCTGCTCCATGCTCAGCTCGTCAAGAGCAAAGAAGCACAAGCGCAAGAGTAGAACTCAACTCTGGGCAACGTCTTCCAGAATATTCCATGTGAAATTCTCCTGTTGGTGTTTGATCTCGTCCTCGAAAATGGAGAATATCCTGGCCGGGAATCTGACAGTGAGCTGCACTTTGATATCAACCACAAACATGTGTCGCTGTAGTGATAGCGTACTTAGTGTACCGGATTTCCGGAGCCAGAAATGACAGAAGTGGTACCCGTAATCGTGTTATTGTTACAGCATCACGAAACGCGATTCGCGTGATTCCAGTAAGGCGACAATTAGGTACACATCAAAGATGAACGTACCGAACGTACCGAATAAAGTCTCGTCGTTAGCCGTTGGCGCAGAAGCAAGAAGCGCTGTTTCCAACTGCATAGTCTAACGATCGGTTTCCTTCCATTTGACTGTGTCTTCTGGCCTTGTGACATCGATTGGGCACACATGTGAATGTTCCTTTCACCCTTCCACGAAATGCTCATCCAACCAGCTGTGCTGTCTGTGATCGTGATCATTGGTGCTTTGATGTTGGACCTCACCGCACCCCACTGAAAGGGCGCGAGCACGCTTTTCAGCGTCGTCTAGTTCTGGCCAACAACTGGTTAGGTCAAATTCTTGCAAACTCTCCATCGACATAGTATAATATTGAAGCATTGTGAAACACATGGCCGCATCCCGAAAATGTCCAGAAATGATAAGAGATTGTTCATTCCAGTTATCGAGCCCATTGTGGGAGAAACTTTGCACGCTTCCTGGAAATTCACTCGATATATATTAGGATTTCGCCCCTAACTCACTCACTCCCGGAATCGTAAACATGGAGCTGCTATTGTTGGGTAACCGCTAATCAGCCGAGGTACGGTGGCGTCCTCTAAGACTGAGAGTAGAATGGCAGGAATTTCGGGGAAAATGAAAACTGCTTCCTGCACCCCGAACCTCTTCTCCCCACTCAGGCTTATGGTTAGTTTCGCTTACAAAAGGATATTTCACGCGCTTTGTGCAGAGCATTCCACTACAATGCCCCTACATCTTGCGATATACTTTGCGCCGTTTTAATTATAATTTAGGTACCCAAGGCGCTAATCGCGAGATGCTTAGCCTGTGCTTCACTGAATCTAATTCATCACTGAATTGGCCTATCCCCAAATTAATTTCTGCCCCGCGAAAACGAATGTGACTATTGAACTTCCTATTCATAAGAGTATTGAATTTACACATGGGTCAAGTACTGTGTTTTCAATGGATTGAATTAGTTTTTTCAGGCCGCGACCCCCAGTCTCGACTCCTCCTGACGCTGACGACGCGCATTTCTCTTTGGTCGATATCACTCCTGGTCAGCATCCGAAATTCATTGGAGATGTGCCAAGACGAACGCACAAAATAGGTGAGCTCCTTTGAACGTTGCGCAAAGTCGAAGATCGTATTTTCTAGGAGCACTTTATACTTACCACGATGACGGTTGCTCTTCACTACCTGATGGTTTACTTCACCCAATTTATGCTGTTTTGAAAAATTAGTTAAATTTTAGCCAGTTACAACCACCTCCGTTAGTTCCACGTAAAGCGCAAAGATCCGCCACGACCACAACGGTGCTGCCGGCTGCTGTGTCAACCACACCTTCTACGGCACCACCGCTTCATCCTCGAAGGCCACCACCGGTGAACTCGTCCCCTTCAAATCGATCGCCTCAGACACCTGGTCGTCTATCTGCAGGTTGGTCTGAGTCCTTCTGAAATGCTCGTAGATCCGCGCACACTTGATCTCGCAGTCCCGGCTCCATCACCTCTCGGTCTTATGTCCGATACTTCAAGATCATTGTGAGTCTACTTAAAGGCAAAGTTCGGGCTCAGACCCACTTAATGAGCCTTTACGGTGGCTAGAAGCGCTAGGCACGCAAGTGTATGGGTCGCGTCACTTCCCTACTTCGAAAACCGTTATTTAGACGCTAGGCTCTAAGAACTTTGACACGCTCCACCTGCTGCGACACGCTCCGCCCACCGCTCGATATCTTGACTGCGTCGGAATTTACTCAGACTTCTCTAGCGCTCTCCGCGCTCACATTATCTCTCATCTCCCTGCCGGCCTTTTGAACTTCTCCGCACCGTAGAGGAAATGGCTCGTATTTCCTAAGCATTTCACGATTTCTTTTTCTCTTTTCTGCACTGGCGGTCCACTACCTACCCCTACTTTCACATTTAAGTGGAATTAACTCATAATTCAATCCTGAATCTTGCCTTTAAGTTCGCCATATGACGAGAATCCGCGCTACTGTTGAAAAATGTCTGTGGGGGATCCACGACCCTTTTCTTATTAAGGTTATTTGGAATGCTCTGACTCATTCTACCCCTGTTCCATTCTTTATGGTGAAGTTAATAATAAAAAACCGGCTTAACCATATCGCTAACACTGGTTGCGAAAAGTGAACCCTTCTTAATATCGTTGATGTTTTGTAGACCACACACCGTCCGCCTTCGTGTTTCCGTCTGTGGACGCGCAACATTCGCCACCGCCTGCACTTCCTCCACGCTTGTCGGCGACTACTACACCTGCCGCCATGTCAAATAATGACAACTTCGAGTTGTGCTTGATAGGTAAGTCAATCCATTGGTTTTTATTTCCTTTGGAATTATTGATTGATTGATGTCATATTCGGGAATTATCGTTCACGCTTTAGTAGTGTCAATAATTACCATAAATTGGATCTTCCTAAGCTTTCCCCGATTTTGTGGAATACCACATAAAGCTAGTTGCGGAATTATTGGCGTAGGTCTTTTTTGGAGTGCGCGCCAGACCATCGTTACTGCCATCCAAGTATCTTGGTGGCATTCGGATACAAGTGTTATATTCCCTCTGAAAAGTCCCGCTTGTGCTATAGCTTGACGGGACCATCTGATGTAGATGTTGGGGCTTTTATTCTGCCAGGCTAACGGTGCCGAATAATTAATCCAGATATTGAAGGCTAGCTTGATCTGACAGGCGTTTAAGGCTTACCAGTTGATGTCACACTCCTCGAAAGGCGTGCTATGCGCGCCTCTAGCGCTAAACCTCTATCCTCATATGGTCACCTATAACAATGAGACGCTTCCAAGATAGGGGGACATTTGTGGCAAGCATTTTATAACTATCTCCCTTCGTGCCAGAACGGGATAACCCCAGGTGTAGGAGGAGGGGCTTCAGATTGCGTTAGCATTTTTTCGATTTCCCAATGTTCCTGCTCCCTCCTTGGCTTAGTATTGCAGAATGCCCCCGTATCTTGCGATAGCGCCATAAAACGATATTCAATCAATCGGTATCCGTCACTGCTGACTTGTTCAATTCACTCATTTGTTTTAGACCGTCCAGCGAGTCTAATTCACCAACAGTTCGTTTATCCGTGCCATTACCGCCAGCATTACCGCCTCGTCGCGGTACTGCAGCTCAGCAAACTCCGCCTCCTTTGCCGCCCAAAACGTAAGTTTATTCGATATACATTGGTAATTCTATGAAATTAATATATCTCTATACGGTATTGTTATTATTATGTTGTTTGTTCAGGCGTATGACCAGCAGCCCGTCATTACAACGTGCGACTGTGCCACCTTCATCACCGGACACACCGCCACCGTTGCCGCCGAAGACGTACAAGACACGAAAACCGAGCGACAGTCCGACGATACGTCACCTCCAATGAAAGAACTGAACGGTCGCGTCGTTGTGTGTGTTGATCGCTCTCTTGTCATCATTTCTGCCGCCATCCTGCACCGCCTAGGTTGCCTGCTAATCCTTCAAAAAACTGGTAAACAGCAAAAGAATTTGTAACTGCGTGTTTTGATTGTGAACCATCGTCCCCAAGGCTGGACCCTGGGAACGACGGGTCTGATCAAAAAAATAACGCACCCACCATTCCGATCTCGTAGCACTCCAAAGATGTTTCAGAAGTCGTGCGTAAATAGCCGACATCAGAAACAACTCTGTAGAATTGCCATTTCATTGCTATAGTAATCACATATATATTTGTCAGGAATCTCTCACTTTCGGTGTTTACTGTTTTTGTTTTCTTTCTTTCTTTCTTTTTTCTTTTTATTAGCAAAAACGGTGACGACGCTTGTCGTCATCGCTTGCCATCAAAAGCACCATCGCTATCCAGCTCTTCTTTCTCACAGCACACGTGTTGATATGTAAGAAAAGTATACGAAAACCTGTGATATGTTCAGTTATTTGCGAATTCTCCAATTGTTTGTTTAATGCTTAATTTAAGGTGTGCGCCATGCACACATCTTATCATGTTAGATTATGTAAGACGATCAGTGATGCCATCGTGGTGATGATATCGCGCCGCGGATCTGCTAAAATCTTCATAGTCGATTTCTCATTGCATAGTTGTTTATTTTTGATTTCATCTTTCGTTTCATACGTTAATGTACACGGCATGTTAATTAAATGCATGATATTTAAATGAAGATCAGAAGCCCAATACTTGTTTTAATTATTCTGGAAGGAGTGCCTACCAAGTGCGTTCGTTCCTGAAACAAAGTCGAATTAGCTTTAGTTAGAACTTCAAACCGCCAGTGCTGTGGATCAGTGAAGGCTGAGCCAATCTACACTGAAAGTTTGAAAGCATCCGTTGATGCAGCCTTGATCGCCATATCCCTCACTCGGTCCTGAATCATGGTTGCATTCAAATCCAACGTCGACTTAACGTCTGTTGTGAGGTTAGGGAGTCTCAACTACCATCGTCCCGGCCTCTCGAAGGATTGACCCTTTTTGACTGTGTTGCGAAATTCGGTCCGTTTTCACTCACCGTACCGTTTGAACGACGCCCAACTTATCGCTGCACGACTTGTGCCCCAATGGAATCAACAGTACATTCAAAATACATCTGCGTTTCATAAATATAGGTCCACCCTATAATTTTTGCCCTACCCCGAAGTTGCATTATTACGAAGTTGCTGTGCATTTTTTGAAAATGCTGCTATCACCGTTAGATTCCTCATCACGGAAAACCTTCATAGTGTTTTTCTGACAAAGTTCCCCCTCAAGTAACCCAATTAACTTTTTCAGAACGAATTTTCACCGTTTCATGAATATCGGGCCACTCATAAAAAGTTTCCATTTCTCACGATCCGTGAAGGGAATCAGGGAAGCGGGGATATATGTGAGCTCAGTCGACATCGAGTTTACCATACCTCGTGTTACTCGCCTCTTCCCAGTAACAAGCTCAAGCTAGAGCACTTACTGAAGTGGGATAGCTGAGGAGCAGAATTTCCTCCCATGTCGGCCGGCTCATACTGCATAAGCGACTATGTGCAAAATCCTGGTCAGTGCGGAGAGAAGAGTCGCTTAGGTAAATAAAGACTGCGTTTCCTTCAAAATTTAGGAGGAATTGGGTGTCTTCTCTCGAATTATACAAGGAGTCCGAACTAACCAGGAAAGGTCATTTGGTCAACCCGGCCATTTGAAATGAGATATATGTGTATACGCGCGCTTTGGGACGCTGAGCTCAAATATGTGTTCCTTATCTGCTGAACTCTTCTCTGAAAGGAATTATGAAGCAGAAAAGCGCAGGGGCTGTGGTCGAGGCTCACGAAAAAGAGGTCAGGGGATCAACTCCCTGGCGAGTTTGTTCTTTTGCCGTTTGCAGTAAGATAGCTAGGAAGACTCCTAACATCGCTAGTCCAACATGCTTGCGTATAGTTAACAGTACAAAGAATTTAAGGGCAATTAATAACGAACTTGGGCGGCATCGCTCCTCACTACTTTGGGCGCTTGTAGCGCAGGCGCCAGGCATTTTTGCTTCGAACAAGTATGATATTCGTAATCAGGGAGTCAGACTCTCCCTTTGAGCGAAACTTCTAGCGAATTCTGAAATTTTGACCTAACCTCGAAAATTTGGGCAGTCACTTACTCACCGATCCACCAATCCATTACAAAAGGCTGGCACTTGGGTAGAATAAACCTTTTAAACACTTTTCATAATAGACAAAAATTGTGTCTGGCTTGCCCGTCTGCATCATCCAAAGATCTGCAAAGCATTATTTCCTAATACAACACCTTCTCTCCCCTTTCCCCCGTCGTCCATGATTGGTCAACCCAAAAAAGTGGAGTTTGAGGAGTGGTAATCCCATCACTGCTCCGCTTTTTCTCAATTAGTTCGTCGCCTCAGATTTGGCGAAAAACTCGTTTAAGGGGTAGTTTGATCCCCTGAATACGAATATCGTACCTACTTGCCACGGAAAAGCATAGCACCTGCACTACGGGCACCATGGCTTTCACAGACAAGTAGTGCTTAAGTTTAAGAGGATCTGCTTGCAAACTCTTCGTAGATGTAGCGTCGGGCGACCATTGATAAAATAACAGATTCAAAAAGGCTTTTCAGCCATGTTGGAAAAAAAGCAAAACAACAAACCCCGTAAGGGACCGAACCCCCGACCCCTCCGTGAGAAACACGACCGCTACCAACTGCGCTACCGAAGCTCACTCACCAGTGCCTCGGTTCTCCTTTCGATACTTTTATAGTGCGGCTAACATGTGATTGCAGGCAAAACACTGAAAATCAAGGGCGGCAACAAAAACCCTCCGTAACTCCTTTCAGAGAAGAGTTCAGCAGATAATGAAAGCAGATTTGAGTTCAGCGTCTCATGCTGCGTACAGAAATGTGCACCTCATTTCATTTGGCCGGGTTGGCCTAATGACCTTTCCTGGTAGCTCCACAGAGAAACATAAGCAAGTGTGGTATTGAACACATTGACGCCCGCGCCGATTTTGGCGCATGTCACA